CAGCAATCTATCCTGGCGCTCGCAGTTGCTTCGTGGATCGATCCGCCACTTCCGCAAGCTTCTACTCAGCCTTCTCCGCGCTCTCCCCCGCTCTCCCCGCCATCACCTACACATTTTGTGGAGATGGCTACAGTTGAAGTCGAGCTCTGCAAGCTCAGCCAGCTCCCAGCTTTGTAGTTTGAAGTTCAAGATCTCGTGTCGCGTAGCAGTAAGACAAAGACTTCAAAGGAACTAGGAAACGTTGGACTAACTGCAAAGGGGGGTTGTCACCTTCGAGGTTTCCCTCCTTAATCCCAAATACTCTACGTGGGAACCACTCTGTTCTTCTTGGTTAACTTTACAATCACTAGCTCCTATCCTGTGCAAAGTCTAACAGGTACTGACCCAAGTCACGCGTGGAGTGTCCTGTGGTTGAGGTGACCAAGAAGAGTAAGGATGAGTTCGGCGCCTATGTCGAGTTCTACGGCGGCCAGCGGAACAACAACTACGTCTACCAGTACGACGGCTACTGTAGTGACGTCGCAAGGACTTGGAAGTACTAGTTCTGGCGGTAATGCTTCCAGTAGTAGTGGAACTACGACCAGTGGTGCATGTACAAGTGGTGGGACAACTACTACGAGTACTGGAGTGCCAAGCATGACTGGAGGCTTCAATTTCCCTCCGTTCCAAGCCGGTTTTGGTGGTTTTGGGTTGGGTGCGATGGCTGGAGCGATCCCTGGCGTGAATCTAATGCCCATGAAAATGGATACAGCGCCCAAGATGAGAGGGAGAAGCTTTGATCTGTACGCTGTGAAGTTGCAAACCTTTCTGAATCGGATGAGATGCTGGGAAGTAGTGGATGGATCATGTAATTTGGACTTGGGCGATCCTGGCCAACGTATGATGTTTGAAGCTAAGGATAATATAGCCCGAGAGGCCATTTTATCCGGTGTTCCTGAAGAAGATGCAGGGATGATATGTCAAGAAGACACTGCGCGAGCAATGTGGGAACGGTTTGTTGATAAGCAGACCAAACGTGAATACTCAAATTACATCTTTGCCAGGTCAGAATTCTACTCGAACGCATACACACCGGATAAAACTATGGATTGCTGGTTGCGCGAGATGGAGAAGTTGAGACGGCAACTGCTTCACTATGGCAAGCATATGAGTGATGAAGATTTTGCGGAGACCCTCCTTGGCCATGTATCACGGACACATCGAGATGTTGTTCGTCAGTTTTCTAAGCATTACGTGGTCAGACAGGATGGTGGAGCAGATCGGCCGGTGCCAACGGCGGCGCAAGTCATGAATGCGTTGCGGGCTGAATCAGTTCTCGACGAGAAGGTGGCAAGTGAAGAGCACACCACCAACGTCTGTTCTTCATGTAATCAGAAGAAGCAAGATAAGCAGAACCATAATCAAGGAAAAGGCAAACAGCAGCAGAAGAAAGGCAGATATAAGGCCAAGCAGCAGCAGAAGAAAGGCAGATATAAGGCCAAGCAGCAGCAGAATTCAAAAGGTGGCAAGCAATCAGGACAGCAGAAGAAAGAAACTCGAAAATGCTTTGAATGTGGTGAAATTGGACATATAAAAGTGAACTGTCCTACACTGAAAGATGCTGCTTCTGCTGATAAGCCAACTGGTTCGGAATACAAGCGGTGGCAAAACAAGAAACGTGATGAGGATAAGGATGAAAAGTATAACAGACGGCGGAAGAACTCAAGTGCTATCTGTTGTCACGTGCGTGGAAGTCCTACTCCGAAGCGAAATCGTTCTCTAAGTGGTCAAATGGAGTGGATTCTGGACAATGCTAGCGATGTGCATGTGTGTAACCAGCAGGACCTTCTGAACAATCTCAGAGTGGATATGACGCATACCTTTGAGAGCTATGACGGGTCTGTGAAAGAGAATGAATTGGTTGGAGACATTCACCTGCGTGTGCACAACAACAGACGACCTCATGCAGATGTCACGTTGTCATATACGAATGTGTTGTTGATGCCTGGGGCTCCTGAAAACGTCTTGAGTCAAGATTTGTTGGAGACGAGTGGGTGGAATGTCAAGTATGGCTGGTTAAATTCTCAGCGTGTTTGCTGGATTCGCAAAGACAATGTGGAATTGCTGATGAAGAAAGAACGTCGGCGCTATCGTTTGAGGGCGACAGCGGTGGAAGCTTACAGTGTGGCAGCGATAGAGAGTAGTGTGCAACCACAACACCTTGTAACAGTGCAACAACAACAAGTGGATTCGAAATTGTTGACGAGATGGCATTTGCGTTTTGCTCATCTGAATTTTGCGTCACTGAAGCAAATGGCCAAGAACGAGGTAACAGCAGGTATGGAATCGAATTTACCTGTCGTGAATGAAGCTGATACCCCGTGTTGGAGCTGCAAAGTTGCCAAACTCACTAGGATGTCATACAAGCGAGTGGTGACGCGTCGGGCAACACGACCGATGCAGAAGATCATGAGTGACATGTGCTACGTTGGAGTGCGCACATATGATGGTTATTCGCATTTCCAACTAGTGCAAGACGAAGCAACAAGATACTTGTGGGGTTTTCTTTTGCGATGCAAAGAGGAAGCGTCTCAAGTAGTTCTGAAGCAATTGAAGTGGTTGATTGCTCAAGGACATCGTCTTGAAGTCTTTCACTCAGACCAAGGGCGAGAATTGCTGAACATACTGATGAAGGCGTATCTTGAGGAACATGGAATCGAGTATACCTGGACCAATGCATATAGGCCGGAGAAGAATTGCTTAGTTGAAAGGATGAATGGTGTTGTCCTGGCTAGAGCTCGGACATTGCTGGAAACAGCAAATATGCCTGATGATCTGTGGGGTGAAGCATTTCAATTTGCAGTTGAAGTGATGAACATTAGTGCTACGAAAGCCTTGGATGGTGATACGCCATATCGTCGTAGGTTTGGTGAGAGGCCAGATGTGTCTTCATTGAGAACATGGGGATGTTTGGTGTTTCTCTTCACGCCCAAAGTTCTTCGGAAAAACAAACTGGAAAATCCCGGGAAGCCTGGACTTTTCATGGGGTACGCACAACATTCAGATAGCTGCCGCGTCCTACACTTATTGACTGGAAATATTAGTGAAGTACGGTCGATCGAGTTCGAAGAGGATTGGACGGTAGAACGAAGCTATGTTGAACGCTTGCTAGCAAATAGATATGGCAAAGGACGGAAAGTATCACAACTGATAGTCATGCCATACATTCGATTGCCTGTGGATAGAGAAACTAGTGCTACTAGTGGTTATCCAAGTCTATCAGAGCTCGGAAATGGTGGAGCTGAACGCCCTACCAAGCGTCAGTGTACTGGTGGAGGTCGAACTGTTTGTGAACTTCCGGATACTGTTGGTGGAGCACTGAGTGGTGTTGAGGCATCAACTCAGGAAGTACCTGCGGGTGCAGCTCAATCGGGGGTTAGAACTCAACGATTACGGCCTTTGGCTCGAGATGGCGAGCATGATGTTGCCGACTTGCCTAACAGCAGTCGTGTAGATGTCATTGATGCTGCTCCAGATCGACAAGGCGTGCCTTCAGTGGGAGCTACAAATGGGGAGTATATCCCAGCACATGATGGAGCTGAGCATGAGAGTGTGGATTTGGAACATGAAATTGATGACGAATCTTTTAAAGACGGCTCAAACTGGCAACAAAATTGCAGTGAACGGTATGACCCGGATATCATGGATCGACTTGTAGTACATGATGACGAACCGGGTGACGCCGAAAACGATGGGTGGAGTGGGTCGCCAGCTACAGCATCGTTTCGTCGGTCGACAAGAGTGAGACGACCAAATGCACGTCTTCAAGACTATGAAATCGATATTCCGGCAAGCTTAGTGATTGAAGCTGTGAATGCCTTGACGGAGCCTCAGAGCGTAAAGGAAGCTCTGCAGGAACCTGACGCAGACAAATGGAGAGAAGCGTTAGAGAAAGAGTGGGGTGACTTGATGAGAAACAACACTTGGGAACTTGTTGAGAGGCCGGTTGGAAAGAAAGTGTTGACCAGCAAGTGGGTATTCGTACGCAAGCGAGACCCTCAGGGCCGGGTAGTACGTCACCGTGCTCGCGTCACAATAAAAGGTTGTCAACAAGAATACGGAGTGAACTTCTGGGAGACATATTCACCCGTGGTTTCTTTTGAAACTGTGAAGCTTGTGCTACTTCTCGCTCTACATTTTGGACTCGTGTGTCACCAAATTGACTTCGTGACTGCATTTTTGAATGGGTCTATTGGTGAAGCTGAAATTTACATGGAGATGCCGGAGCACTTTGACGACGGTAGTGGTCGAGTGTGCAAACTGTTGAGGAGTTTATACGGATTGAGGCAGGCCCCATTGATTTGGTACAAGACTCTGGATGCTTACTTATTGAAGATTGGGTTCAAGCGATCCAAGATGGACAATGGATTGTACTGGAGAACAGTGGGAGGTAGCCCAATATACCTGACGGTCTATGTTGATGACATTTTGATTGTTGCCAATGAACAGAATGTGAAATTGGTGATTAGTGAACTGGCGAGAAAGTTCAAGATCAAAGATCTGGGACGTGTCCACCATCTACTTGGGATGGAGATCACGTGTGTCCAAGACAAAATTGTGTGGATATCTCAACGCGGCTACATCTCTAAGATTTTGGAGCGGTTTGGAATGGACCAGTCTCGTGCTGTTGCGACTCCGCAAACTTTAGGGAGTGTGCCAACACCAGCGTCAGTAGACGATGCAAGTGTGAACAATCCAAGATTACCCTACCGTGAACTAGTTGGGTCTTTACAATACCTTGTTCAATGCTCGCGTCCAGAGCTCGCGAACGCGGTGCGAACGTTGGGGAAATACCTGAATTGCTATACAGAGGAAAACTGGATCATGGCAAAACGTGTATTACGATATCTACGTGGAACGATGGATTTTGGAATTGTGTGGCACAAACCTAAAACTACGGAGTTGAAGTTTGTAGCATATGCAGATGCAGACCTCGGAAATGAGGAAAATGGTCGATATTCATTTACTGGATATGTGCTACAACTAAATGGATGTACTTACGCATGCAAATCGAGAAGACAGAAGATTGTGACTGATGATACTTGCTATGCGGAATTCGTCGCTGCGAGTGAATGTTCAACTATGATTATTTGGACTCACAATATTTGCAAAGAACTGAAGCTCAAGTTTTGTATGCCGACTGTTTTGTTTCAAAACAATCAATCTACGATCACTGTGATAACTGGAATCAAAGGCAACTACAAGACTAAAAGCGTGGACCTAAAGTATCACAAGGTGCGAGACTATCACGAGCAAGGAGTGATTGAAGTATGCTACTGTCCAACTGGAGAAATGAAAGCCGACATATTTACGAAGCCACTAGGTCCGCAACTCTTTCAGAAGTTTCGGCAAGAGCTGAATGTTATGCCCGTGCCGATTGCCATCGAGGATGTGTAGTTGTATGAATGTTGTCTTAATGGAATGTCGATTGAATGTTTGTCGAATGTTACCTGTGTCTCAGGCGATATTTTGGGACGAATTAATGACTGTGAGGCTGTCCATACAGCTATACAGCTGTCCTCCCAGGAAAACAACTTTCTTGATCAGATTGTATTTTTCAGACTCAAAGGCAATGACAGATCGACATTTGATGCCTCTGTGTATGCACGATAATGCAGACGTAGTGAAATTCAGCACGTGCCGTTATGTAGTAAATAGAGGTTGCTACAAGGTAGCAGGCGGCATTTGGAATAAGATTCTTCGTAGTAGTAGTGTGCTTGTTCTTACGAACAATACGTGCGTGCGGATCAATTGTCAGACTGTCAGTCTGCCTGGCTTAACCATCGCAAAAAGCAGAACGACAATCCGACGCATGTATCGATAGTAAGAGAAGGATCATTCAAGCATTACTAAATCTCACGGGAATGCAAGTGCTTCCTGCCTTTCGTCACCCACAAAAACTAAAAATGAAATACTAGCCTGGATCCAGTTCAGGAAATACGTAATAACGCATTTGGTGTTTTCGGGTTCGAATTGTTGCTCCATTACCGTAACCGGAATCTACTCGATATCTTGACAGTTCAATATTCGGCCCGCAAACAGCGAGTGCGTGCCGCCACCTGGCTACATCTGTGGTTCTCGAACCACACGACAGTTACGCCCTATTGATGATGTAAAGATCAACTGGTTGACGGCCAAGGTGCTGGAAATCATCCGCGTGCAAGTCGACTGTGAAATCGAGTTGCTACGCGCCTGTGGTTTCACATTTTCCGTTTTTCCCAAAAACCAAAAAGTCGTTCAACTACAACTACCGTAATCCCAGCGAAGATGCGCCTCACCTTTGCTCTCGTCCTCCTCGTATCCCCAGCTCTCGTCGCGGCGACTCTGGATCCGGCCAGCTCCAACACGAAGGGAAAATGTCCGAGTACTTACAACTGCAGTGTGACCAAAGTGTCTACAGCCATCCAGGCTGCTGAGTGCTCGCACAACACCCGAACCTCCGAGACGCAGACTTTCGCCGTCTTTGTGACTGATCATCAGTACGATGGCAACAACGGTTACCCCTACGGGACCTGCTCTGCGTACACGTGTGACCCGCCTACCTCGGACCAAATGGAGGACAACGACGACTGCTGGACGTTCTTCTGGAAGTAAGTGCACTGATATCGAGCAAGAAACGATGCAAGATATTAATGTTCTTGTGTGTACAGTGGGAGCGGTGCGGACAGCGGCTTCGGAACTGATTGCGTCAAGGACCCCACCACTGGAAACTGCGGCTGTCAGAACTCGGATGGCACATTCGTCCCTAACAGCAGTACCTGCAAGTAAGTCGATTTGTGGAAGATGCCAACGGCTACAGCTCTCGGTGTAAGTCAATGTAGTATTCCAGTCAGTTTTACTCTACCAAAAATCTATCTTGTTTCGGCCTTGATCAAGCGAAGTGATATAAGCACTGTAGAAACCCTTGTGCCCTTTCAGTATAGAATATGACAGGCCGATTGACAAGTTGATTCAAGCTCGAAAAAAAAAACACCCCGTCGAATTCAGTATCGTTGCCTCGGATCTCCCCCCCCCCCCTATTTGGCGAAGATTAAACTCTTCTCTACAGTTGCAGGTCGTTGCACGTACCTTAGCAACCACTAAGGTTTTCGTGTGTAAGCATATCTTTACGTGACTCAACTCGTAATTTGCTGCTGTTGTGGTGCAAATGAAGTACGGGTAGTTGCCACGGAGATCGCGAATGCAGCGTCCAACACGTGGTGGCGATGAATGATTAATAATCTTATTTTGCTCTCTTGACGATCGAAAGCATTGTCAACTTCTCGACCCGTTACCTTTCCTTCTCACGTAGTTACCCTCGGTTTCACAGAAGTACGCTAACCTGACATACAATATCTTCCGTTACCGATCTGTGAAGGCAAGGTGCAATGTTTAGTCGTTGCCAAATCCCGGCCTAAAGCGTGGATGGCAGCAGTAGAGAGAAACGTTAGTACAGATTGGAGATGGAGGTTAGATTACTTCCGTCGCCAACCACTCCCGATCAATTGCTGTGTGTTGAATAAGAACCAGTTAACCAACATGGTTATTCCTCGAAGATAACGATGCTTACGGACGCGAAGCAGGCATCAGTTCCTGAGGTCGACACCATAGAAGTCAAATCTCCTCGATCACTCCACAGCTGATTAGTGTTCACGACATCAACTTCTAGCCAGCTCACCTCTCATCTTTTATCGTTTAGAAATTAATCGTCCGTTATCCGGCTCATACTGATACAACGTCCTTTAGTCCTTCCCTCCATCACCTCCACCACATCTGGTCTGAAGAGCTCCTCGGTTTCCCAGTGTCACTCTTCCACTTGGCAGTTCAAGCGCGCCTCGTGCTCTCCTCTGACTGGTATAATGCAGTTGCTGTGGGCGTTGGCGTCGGCCGCGGCGCTACTGACGTCGTCCGGCTCCGTCTCGGGGGCTGCCGTCGACCCCAAGGACAAGGGCGAGCCACTCTTCCCCGACGGTCACCCCAACATCACGTACCTGACGGACAAGAACTGGGACGAGCACATGGCCAAGACGGACAAGCCATGGATCGTCGACTTCTACCACCCTTTGTACGTTAAACATCAATTTTAGAACCTTTTAACCGAGGTTATTGCGTCGAAACACAGCGTGAACTGACCTAATTACGACGTTTATACCGGTTGTGATACAGCTGCCCGCACTGCAAGCACTTTGCGCCTGCATACTTCGAGCTAGCAGCCTACTACAAGGAAAAAGGCAACATTTATGTCGGAGCATTGAGCTGCATGGACCACGTCAAGTGTCGTCGCGTGGGTATTACTGGTTTCCCGACTCTGATGACGCTCAACTTCGACAAGAAGAACCCCAAGAAGGAGAACAAGCGGATCATCGGCACTCATACTGTACAGGAAGTGAAAGACTATGTGAACAGTGTATTCGCTGAAGCTGCCTTCAACGAGACGGGCACCTGGCCGCCCGGATACGTTTCTCCGGAGCAGAAGGCCAAGGAGGAAGAGGAAAAGAAGAAGAAAGAAGAAGAAGAGAAGAAAACCGCTGAAATCAAAGCCGCATCCAACGGAAAGGAACCTCCCAAGGCTACAGAGACCCCGAAGCCGGCTATTTGGGAGGAATCCACGCTCCCAATGAACCAGACTACGCGTATCCAGGACGCTGCTTCGGCCTTCGTGTTCGGCCTCAAACAGGGCGCGTTTATGGCCAGCGACGTTATGGATGACGAGGAGTTTGATGCGCTTAAGGGCTGGCTGAAGATGGTGTCCGAGACATTCCCTGGAGCGATTAACCGGAAGGTTATCCGACCTTTGTACGAGAAGGTGAAGGATAAGGAACTGCTGGACTTTGACACGTGGGATGCCATCGTTAAAGAGTGGCAGGAGGGCTCAGTTGCCGCCTTTAAGGCAGAGGAAGAACGGTATGACTTTACCGGTATTACCGTTCCTGAATGGCAGCGTCTGGACAATCTGTTCATGGGTCAAGGAGCCACTTACCGTGCCTGTGCGTTGTATACGTGCGGTCAATGGAACATGTTCCACATGCTGACGATGAACCCTCCTGAGACCGGTACACGCAGTGCGGAGCTTATGGTGTCTGTCGTTGCATCCATCCGTCGCTTTATGAAGCATTTCTTTGGTTGTGTGAATTGCCGTGACCACTTCTTGAAGGAGAATACGATCGAAGCAGTCAAGAAGATCAAGGCCGCAGAGGATAAGCCTTTAGCTTTGCGTCGTTGGCTGTGGGAACAGCACAACTCGGTCAATAAGCGTCTGCATCACCCTATTTGGCCCAAGCCCGAGATTTGTCCTACTTGTGGCACTGAAGCTGCGTGGGAGATGGTGGAAGTGGACAAGTGGATGAGCAGGACCTATGCTTACCGTGACGTTAGCGTTCCTCTGGTTAAATTAGCGGTAACTGCCCCCATGACCACAGCTGCAGCTCTACGCAAGGTGACTGA